CAGATGTCATGAGCTAGTATTCAGTTTATATTTGCGTAAATCTAACATAAAACATATTATAAGGGACATAATAAGCTTACGTTATGTATTTTTTTATTACAATATACCTAATTAGAATATAAAAATATGGACAGAAAACAGATGAGGTAGTCAGAGGCATTGTCAACTGCCGATGTTGTGGTGAACGAACGTGTTGACATGTTCCCCACATTTCGCTCGGCATATTTTGAATCCTAAGTGGTAGGTGGCGCCGCCTCTCGTATTAATTTGATATCGGTCTTTCCTCTACCGAAAATTTAGTCACAAATGTAAATTGACACAATAAGTTCTTCTTATGTCAGCCAAACTTGAACGCGCGGGCTCTTGGGAGTAATTTAAGGTAAATATTTATTTATTTATAATTTTTTTTCAAAGTAGACTTTGTGAAAGTCGTCAGCTTGGATATCCCAATTCCACTTATTTCAGTGCCTAAGCAGTTTAACGTACTCGGTACGTTACAGTTACATGACCACAAGTATCAAGATCTGCTCCAAGTTCTTCTCTCTGATTAACGCTGGAGAATTCGATTGACATCAATAAGATTGTGATCAATCCATAGAATGCTAAGAATTACGTCTCTCTCATTATAAAACTAGTGCAATTTTTTCATATCTGAACTGAAATCTGAAACAGAATAAAATTGTAACTATTATGTGTATGAAACATTTGTATATTGTAGTTGCAAAATCGTTGTTTATGAAATTAAATGCACAAGACATTTAGTTATGTAAACAATGATTTTGTAGCATAAGAGGTATAAAAATGAAACAAATATTTTTTCGGAATATATATAGATCATGATGAAAATTTTAGGGAATATAACAGTATACAAAAAAAAATATAGCAGAATAAAGCATATCCATTAATAAAAATACATTAAATTTAAATAATAAAAAATACACACTAGTATAAAAATACGAATAAATAGAGAAATTCCATTTATAAAAGAAAATAATTGATACTTCTACATAAAAGCTTTAATAACCTATGAAATAATTTCATTATTCATATGTTCAGGATCGACACAAGCACATAATTATATAAATTCTAATGTATAATATCTAGCGAGCAACGAGCTAATCACTATCTCACTAAAGCACCTACATACAAGGGCACTCAATATATTCCGGTGCATGTGCTGATTGGTATTTAATAGGAGGTATTGTAATTACTACTGGAATACCATTGATATGACGATCATAGTGTAGCATTATTGTCATCATGCTAGCTCTTATCTATTCGCTAATTAGACCGTTCTACAATGTCTGTCATTATGTCCGAACCCGAAGTCATCATAATCATCTACTTTCGTACTAGGTCTCCTCGTAAGAGGAAGATGTAGACTATTACCACGCGGGCATAATAACAAAATTTTAAATAGATTACATTTTAACATTTTGTTATTATTGTTTAAAAAAAAATTACCAAATTATACGTAAATTATACCTTCATGTTTTCGTAATCTGAAGAAGGATGTTTTATAAACGACAGCTGAAGTAAGTTAAATATAAGAATCAATAATCAATTCATATTATAGGTATATAGTTATATACCCAAAATATAAGAAAATATTCGAACTTAAATACTATTCCCAGTGAACAAGTAACTTCTATCGTGTCATATAATTTTAATGAGATACTCATAGATGTTGCATACAAGAAATAGCTTCGAAATAAAATTCTTATTCCTCGAAATATACTTGATTCCATTTTCTGCAGAATTGAAATCCTGAATCTAAGATACAATTTTATTTACATAATCTAAGCCTCAGCATGGTAACTTAATCTCAGTTCGAGGCATGAAGGTAATCAAACATAAATGAAATTTTTCTATCCACTTCACGAAGTTATCGTACGTTGTCAAAAGCCAAAAGTGAAATTTTCAGCATGTTTGCAATCCTTAAAAGTATTGTGTTAATTTCACCCTTGGATTGGCATGTGCGGTATGCTTTTGACTTTCAAACCTTTATGGGAATACCCTTTGTAGTATTTTATTAATTTTGTATGTAAAAAAGACAGTACAGTGTCACAAAGCAATTGTATAGAAACATTCAAGTCTTTTATCAATTGCAACGCTATCCTTTAGTTTTATATCAATTGCTTCGAAAAAATCGATGAGTCGTTCAATTATTGATTCATATATAATAATTACAGTATTTTTTATTCAATTATATGTATACGAATGTACAGATTCAATGAGATGAAATGCATAAAAAAATATTTTATTGTGAATAGTGATGTGAACGTATTCCGGAGTGGTTAATATGGTAAATATGAAGCGGAGCAACGGCTACATCACCTACAGCTGGTATCACGTCGACCTCTACAAGGAGACGCGGTACTTGCCTAAGACAAGAAATCAAGTTATGGGTAGCAGTAAAAATCCAATTAAATGTGGCGTGGTGAATATTTTGTACACTTAAAAATATAGCTAAGGTACAATATAACAATATTGATACTAGGAATAAACACATAAACATTATATACACATATATGCGTTTGTAGATGTGGAAAGAGAAATATTGTGATCACATAAATTTGACCCGAAGCAATAAAGGTAAAAGGTTGTGAAGACACAAATGTATTTGCATGGGTACGCAGTTAGCACTCCTCGTATTTTGTTGCAAATGAATTGAGGTTCAACTAATGGCAATGCTTGTTTCTTTATTGAATTTGTATACATTTTTCTTTTTCACAGAGCTATATTGCATATTAAACAGAACTGAACAGGTACTGAACAACTGATAGAAATACTTAAACGCAAACACATATATAATATACATAGAAAACACCTAAACCAGTACAAAAAATCACACTCATGAAAATGAATAGAAAATCATTTATTCAAATAAACTTACATTGAAGCACTTTTGAATAGTCATTATATTTTTTTTTAATCTACCGCTTAATTTATATTGTTGGAGAAGCAAACACGTAACTATATGAAGTAAGACGGTACACTTTTTTTTAACGGATGGCAATAGCGTGGTCCCAATAGTATACACTGTCGTGGATGAGCATGAAGTCAAGTTAGTTAGCACATCTCGAATACAATATAAACTGACTAGATCACCACAATGGAATTCGTGGAGGTCAATGGAACATTGTCAGCAATGGAACCTACTCTGTGTAGAAGATACCTCTGAGGAAGTATTTCCCCGGATGTACCTCCTTCACAGAGGAATTTACTAGTTACTAATATACTGATGATAAGTGACAACCAAAGCCCATACACGAGCAGGAGACGAGCATCACAAAATAAATTTTCCAGATACATACGAATGCGCGTTTCTTAGAACACATTTTTATTAGAGATTTCGCGTTATTGTGTTTTTATAGTATTATTGTGGAAGCGTAAGAAGATATGAAACCATTTCAGAGAATCTTAGGGTCGGGATGTAACGTAGAGGTCAATTGTTTATTTAAGTACATGGTGTTAGACTTTTTAATGAAATATTTTTATTTTATTTCTTTGTTGCGCATGTTTACACAGTTACTATAATAGTAAAATATTAGTATAAATACTATAATATTATAATAGATATTATTAACTATATATTAATCACAAAAATTATTACGTATTACACAAAAATTATAACGTATAAAACCAATCAGATCTATGCATAAGAGGCACGACTCCTTTGTCCTCTGGAATGGCAACGCATGAGTCAAGTAGACATCACATGATAATGTGATGTCTATAGTGCTGCTTTTCATGTACAAAATGTAGGCGTATTGGTACTCATTTGCACATAAGATTTGAATTAAAATTTTTAATTCAAATCTTAATTATACATTTTCGTTTCTAAAATTGTACAACAAAGTTATATATCTGTTCGTCCGTTAGTTTGTCTCTATCATCATTGCAGCAATATATTTCTGCTTATGATTACCTATTTCTAATATTCATTATGTCATATGTAAGATTTGTACAAAGGAAAACGTAATTAAGTGAAAGAGTGTATTAGGACTCCTTGTTTTTGCTCCGATTTTCAGTCTTCTACTGCAGCTGACAATCACATAACACGATATTTTAATAAAAACATGCGATTTTAATATTTCTTAGGCTTATAACTTAGTGCGCGCTGTTTTCAATGTTAGGTTCTGTTTGTAATATAATTATTTAAATTTTATTGAACTTTGTGAAATAAGCGGGCTTATTGTTTGATTGCTAATAGCAGACGAAGGACAGAGATACTCCGAGGTGGTTTAGTTTTTTAAATAAAATTATATAATATATTAAATAGGAATAAATATAGAATAGATGGTATTCTAAACATAAATAGGAACTACCTATATTTTATTGTGGTACAATTGGTACGAAATCATTTTGGGTATTTCTATATCTATTTCAGGCAGCCAGTAGCTTACTTTGTAAAATATTTTTATGTTGTAGAGGGTGAAATTATAGTACATAGAAAATACATAAACTGCCACTCCGGAGTACTAAGGTGTCATGCCCCGATGAGATCTTAGTACTCCGGAGCGGCATGAGAGAAGTCATTGACGTCACAAGATGACGCAATGTCCTTGCTGCTGTTCACGTATGGTTACCACTTACCATACGGTTGGCCATCAGCTAGTTAATCATTTCAGATTATTAAAAAAATATTGACCAGACAAAAATAATATTAATGATATCTATAGGTAATATACTTCGTGATGAATACTAGACGCAAAATGTGACTAGTATAATTAATTAGTATATATTATACAGCTGTGTTTACACTGAAGCATTTGAGGTCGACAGCACGCTATGTGGGTTAGTATTATCAATATAAAATTATGAATGAACTCTTTGTTATTAATGACTAATTTGTGTAAAATTGACCTAAATAATTACATATTACAGAATTAATGTACAAAGAAAATTGTTTTGCGTAACCCAACTGAGTCACTGAAAACTTTCACTTAAAAGGACCGCCTTGTAACTGACCACATGCATTTTGTTAAAGACCAGGGTGTTGTCCGACGCGCGTTTTTATTTCATTTACTCACAAATTTAGTAACGCTTTTTTTAATCTCCCTGTATACATATCACTGATAAGTGCTCAATATTGAACTTATTTACGTTTTTTCCAGTGTTTGTGATGAGATAACACGTAACTATATAATAATTAACTCGTATTGTATTAAATATAATAATTTAGTTGGTAATATTGATAAAATGGCAGTGATTTATTTTAAGACGGTACTGTTTGGTTTTCTTGTGTTTTTATTGAATATTAATTGTATGTCAATAAATGGTCCGGCGTTAACACGATACGACCCCTGTGGTTTAGCAGTTGTATACTTTGATAAAATAACTGATAAGTTATGGCGAGGTGTTGTAAATTTTAATCTATATCGATTGTCAGAAGCGTATATTGAAATACATTTCGAGAAGAAAGCTAAACTATACGGGGTAAGTAGAAAATTAATTAGTTCTTTCTATGCAATTAAAATATTGTTTGAAACAATTTCTCAATTTTTTGTACTAAATTATTCGCCTGCTTAGTTTTATATATTATCGTACATTCTGTTTTAATGACGAAATTGTGCATTGTTATATATATTTTTAAAAGAATAAAGACAGATTTATAGTAGTTTAATAAATGTAACATATAATAGAACAATAATATAATATAAGAAATGATCTTTAAACCTACATGTGAAACTCTAATAACTGAAACTCTAAATTCTCATATTCTGTACAAAACAATGACTACATATTTTTGTAAAGCATATAAATAATAATGGAATCACGATGATCATAATGAACTTTGAAATGAAATAAACATAAAAAATGTACAGTTAAAAATAAGGTCAAATTTAGTGTAGCAGAATCTAATTCGGACGTTATAAAGAAAGATTTTAAAAATAAAACAATGTAAAGGTTTCGTTTATACAAAATTGTAGTCCTTATGAAAACATCTGTAGTAATTTGATTTGTGTCTTAAGTAAATTGATTTAAATTCACATTGAGTTGGAGATATTTTATATAGCTTTGATTTAAACGTTAGACTATCGGGAAACGATCATCAACGTTTAATCGCAAATGAGTTAAGGCGTTTCTAAGAAAAGTCTTCAAATGTATTTACTTTGTAAAATTCAATATCATTTCTGGCCCGTAGATTTTTTCACTTCTTTTAATTTTCTCATTGCAGGCTTCACAGAATACGAGTATAAGTGTTATAAATAATTGGCATGGATTTATACTTAAACCAAACGGTGAAACTCCGATACCTTATTCGTTTTTTGTATCCATTGACAATTCAGAAGCAAATACAACTGATGTTCCAATTGTCACACAATTCAAAATTAATAATGTGACACTTTGTAATGATGCAGTCAAGGTAAATTTTTAAAATTAATAAATAATCTGTGTCTATTTTTATTTAATTGCAATGATAAAGATATAATAATCGAGGTAAACTTTCTAGAAAGTAGTACCTTAGTCTCAGTTAATTCAGCCGCTAAGCTTGCTCAGTAAACTGTTTCGATTATAGGGCGAGATTAAGTCGTGAAATTACAGAATAACAGTAATAGAATCTCAGTCTTTCCGAATGTCCATGTATGAGTGGTATCAGATGGTCACATGATTACGACTTATTCATGTAGAAATAAATAAATATACACGATGGTTACTTCACTTACCAGGTGGAATTTTGTTTTTATTCTAATTATTATATACTAGCTGTGCCCGCGCCTTGACCATATGGAAGAGTAACCTTGGATAGCATTTTTAATTATTTATACTTATTATAAAAATAAAGAAAAGTCGTTCTAGCTTCAAAAATAAGGAATATACATACAAACTTTCATCCCCTATTTTATTTTACTCTCTCAAGGGTATAATTTATTTATATTTTATCAACAGCCAAAAATATAAGATTCGTGTTTCTAGCTTTTAAAAATGATGATACTTCTATATAGCCTTTCATCTCCGCTTTCTACCACTTATAAAGCTTAAAGCTTAATGCACATTAAAAAGTAGCCTATGTTCTTTTTCAGGGCCTAGACTATTTTTGTACCAAATTTCATTTATATCGGATCAGTAGTTTTAGCGTGAAAGCGAGACAGACAAATGGTTAGAGTTACTTTTGCATTTATTATAATAGTAATGATAAAAAAATATAACAGATTTTTTTTAATTTTCAGGCATCACAGACTATTGAATCCTTGAACGTAACGAAAACGTCTAGCAAATACAAACAAATATGCGGGAGGCGATCATTAGATCACACTGAATTAGTCTCTGTAAGAACTGAATCCCGAGCCGGCGATTGGCCATGGCACGTCGCTATATTCCTATGGAACCCTAATATGACTAACGAAGAATATTATTGTGGCGGCAATATCATATCAAGAACCGCCATCGTAACAGGTTTGAATCCGCCACCCATTTTATTAGGATTCGATATTGTCTTAAAGGCAATAAACAACGAACAATAAATGTTTATATTTGCTGAGTAATATTTTGCGGTCACTCAATTTTGCAGATAACAGGGCTAGATTTAGGAGGATAATATATTATTATACTAACTTATAACCGCGACTTCGCCTGGTTTTTTTTTCAGATAAAAGATCAGAAAGATGTATCCAATCTCGTGATACATTAAATCGAAGAATGTATCGAACGAATCGAAGGGAAAAATGAGAATGTAAATTTCTCATTTTTCCCTTCAAATTTTTTTTATTTATTAGGAAATAATACAGCAGTATATCTTACATAACTGATAAATTAAATAAATAAATTAAATAAACACGTAATATTGTATTTACGTGTTCTGTGTAATATCTTTTCATATTTAAATATAAAGTTACTTTATGTAACAGATCGGATAATTAAAATAATTCAGTATTATATGGGTTCATTTAACCTTTTAGGAACTACGTCATAATGAATTTATAATTTGTATTGAAAAATAGACATTACTCTAGTTCCTAAAATGTACGATTAACGTTTAACATATTTGCTTACTGCTGAAGAAACTGTGCTCGTTTGTAACATTACTATAGTTCTGAAAAGATTATGACATCAATGTAATGTATGCGCCATTTAATTTGTTACAGCCGGACATTGCGTCAGAAAAGACGGCGTGACGGTAGACGCGAGTAGAATTGTAATAGTCGCCGGTGTTAGCAATCGTAGAGACAGTAAGCAAGTTGGAAGACAAATTGTTATGGTGAGCACACATAATATTAATTAAATACCAGTACATCTAAGTTAATCTGCTTTTTTGGATAAAGATAGCCTGTGTAATTAGTTTTGATACAATTTATCTTTCCGTCAAATATCATTATAATACATTCAGTTATTTACTTCTGAAAAAGTATAATATCAAACCGATAGACAGACATATTTTATTACTTATAATTTTACTTTGTTAGTTACTACTTTGTCCGCTTTTAATTAGAAATACAGTCTAATTGTGCATAACGGACAATTTTATATCATGATTTCATTTTTTTATAAGCATTTTAAATATCTTTTTACCTTTGTTCCTGTAGAGATTATTACATTTTTTTTTAAATACATGTATTTACCAACAACCATATACATATAATATAAAAATAAATATAATATATATATAAAATTAATTAATTGGTATTGGTACATAAAGTAATAAAACTATTTACAAGAGTATCTGGGTGAGACAGAGATACCAGGTTACCTACGAAAACGACTTCGCATAAAGTAACTCTAATAAAAGTTGAACGTTACAAAAAAATACATGCAATAAAATAATGTGCAATTTTTTTTAATTTCAGGCAAAGGAAGTAATTTTACATCCTTCATACACAGATACGCTAGCAACAGCTGACTTGGCTGTGATTAAAGTAAATTCATTCCAATATACCGAGTATGTACAACCAATATGTTTGTGGGGGCCGGTTTACGACAAGGCTATGCTTTTTGGAAAAGCGGCTGTGGTAAGTGGACACAAGTTATATGTATATATTCTTGTGCAATAGTATAGAAAAAACAGTACTAAAATAATTCAGAAACAATGTTAGCAAAGGTGTACTTATCCCTAAAAGAGCAACACACATATTTCTTACAGAGAGATCAGATGAGATACTTTCCTAATAAGTGGTAGAATAAAAGAATATTGCACCGATCGAGTAAAAGTGCTTATATTAACTTTATTTTAATAAAGATTATTTCTATTATTGAGTACGATTAAATAATATAAAACGTAGTACGGACGGGTTCGGTGGTCCTGCGGTTTAGCACATTGCTTTACTTCCGATGGTCACTGATTCAATTCCTCACACGGTCCAAATATTTATATTTTGATATATGAATATGATTCTATGTACTGTTCTAGGTATTCTCTATATATGTATGTGTTTACGAAAAAAAATATATTTATTATAAATATCCGTTATCTAGTACCCATAACACAAGCTCTGCGTAGCTTGGTACTAGATAGCACTGTGTGATTTGCGCAGGTTTATTATTTATTGTTATTAATTAATTACAGATAGTCGGCTTTGGACAAACAGAAGACAACAAACCGTCTGACATACTGCGTTCCACTTATACGTTAATACAGAATGATACAACGTGCGTGACGTTTTCAGCGAACGTTTATGAAAATTTATTAAATGAATTTACATTTTGCGCTGGATATGGTGCAAATTCAAGTAAGTACATATGCAAATCTTTATCGATATGCCATAATTATAATCTATATAAACAGCGCAGCCTGTACTGGAAATATACAGTCACGAGAAAAACTACTATATCAACGTATGGGTTAATTTATAATCGTAACAGAAACCAAAGAAATTATTGTACACATTATATAGGTAGATAGATAGAAAACTTTATTTTTCCAATTTTTACGTAGATTATAATTACTGTCCTACAAAGCTCTAGTCCGGGGGTTTTTGCAGTCATGTAATTCTCTATGTATATATAATTTATTATATATATAGAGAATTACGTATATATAATATACGTTATTAAATACATATTTATATGTATTATATTAGTAATTTAACAGTAATTTAACGCACACATAAAATACAGTTCCACTTTTATAACATTTAATATTGTACATACTATAACAGCTTCAAATTAAATTTTAATTTAATTTGAAACTATGTTACATAAATTGTAATGTAATTGTAAAAATATAATAGAAAATGCTATATATTATGCTTTGCAAGAAGTATAGGTACTTAGTGAAATGTAAGCATTGTCAAATGTACCGCATAAAGTTATAGGACTACAAGTTACTCGCATACTTACTTATTGTAAGTTATACCCTATTTTTGTAATTGTAATAACTAACAAACTAAAAAAGGATAAGCGGCTAATTGATAGTAGCTATGAAGAGCCCCAGAGTTATCTAATCAGCATATGACGTCCGTAACTCTTCATGCATTGCATTCTAGAGGACTAAGATCTGTAATATTTCTACCATAAACCCTCAAATCGATCGATAAAAAAAACTTGTTGGCTAAACCTTTAATAATTGATGATTTTGAATTTCAAATCTAGCTGTGAATCCCCGCAATGGAGACAGTGGAGGAGGCCTGGTGATCCCAGTTCTCCAACCGGACCATAAAGTCAGCTGGTTTCTACGTGGAGTCCTATCAAAATGCGGCGTATCCCCGGGGAGTAAAGATTGTGATCCTCATTACTACATGGTGTACACAGACGTTGGCCCACATTATGGGTGGATTTACCATCATTCTGGTTTAAAATTCCAATCCCATATTATTGAAAGTACTAGTTGATAATGTATAATTGGTGATGATATTGTGATATTAGTTTTAAGATTTTTTAATAGTTTACGCCTTAAAAAAGTAGTGTGTTTGTATAATAATTAAAGGATACTCGTAGGAATTTTAATTATTTCATTTATATTTAAGATTATATATATATATATTTAAATGAAATAGTCTGAAGATTAATGAATGAATAAGTAAGATAATGATTAAAATAATGTGGTAATAATTTATTAGTAACATATGGATTGATGAAAATAATGCTACTAAAAACCTATGTACCGACATGAAAGTTCCATTGCTCCTATAGAATTAAAAAAAGTATATAAAAGTTAATAGTTACAAAATCGGTAAATAGTTTGTAGTAGTATTTATAAAAAAAAAATATAAAAGTTAAGAGTTACAAAAAAATTAATGTACAATACTAAAATCAATAAAAACCCCATGTTAGATGAGTTTATTTTTTAAACTGTGTAAATTGCAAAATAGATGAGGTTACCTTAGAAAAGATGTTGCAATATCATTTTAACTCGTTTAGCATTCCCGAAGAGTCCTATTTAATTTTCTAATCATACGTGGGAATAAAATCGGTCTTTATCGTAATAACATAAATTGTTATTGTGACAAGGTGTAACAGTATGGTTACTGATATTATTAATCACGGTTTTAGAGGTCAGAATATGTATAAGACAAATATAGGAAATATTAAACTTTAAAATTGACTTAAGTAAAAATTTTATCTTGAATCTCAAATAATGTGAAGCATTCCAATTATTCGAGTTAAGTATTAGAATTATCTAAGAAATAAATTATTGTGATGACTTTTTAATCATTATTTTAATATAGACCGGGTTGAATTTTAAAACTGTGTTGAATGACAGAAAATAACGTATTTTATTTATAACGCATTTACTGTATGTACAATAAATTAATTCATCTGCCTATTACAAATTAAAACATTACACATAGCCTTTGCATGTTTTCAAATTTTCAGGGCAGTCCGAAACCTTTACGAACCTTTTGTATTAATCCCTAAACCTTTTATACAGAATTAAACGTATTAATCAAAATCTGCGTGTATTAATGTAGAAACAAATTAGAATGTACTCATTATTTATTTCAATGTATTTATGTTTTTTGTCTTTATTTATTCAGGAGCTTACAATCTCAATAGTGAGCGTGTTAGCTCCGTCATAGCTACTAAACTCATTATATTTATATTACTTTTCCAGATATAAACTTTTATGCACAAAATCCATTAAGATAGATTGATTTGATTCAGGTTCCGATAATATATTTAGAAATGCCTACATTAAGTCTCTTAGATTTTTTTATAGCAATACTTGTCTTTCTGCTTTATTATTGATACATTCTATCAACAAATGTTGAACTTCTTAAACACAATCTCAAGTTTGGGAATTCAATTCAATTGGGGGAGTCTACTCTTTTCGTTAAATATCCAAAATTGTTTAATGAAATATGTCCTTTACGCAATCTAAGTACTAAGACTACATATTTACGATTAAAATAGTAGTTTGGTAGTTTGTGAATACTCATTTAGTTACAGTGAAAAACATATTAATACAAAAAAGTTTACTTGCATAAATGACCTAAAAGTCTTACATAAATAATTTGTTTTTGTATATGAATTTGAATATATAAACTTCAAACGCAAAACACTAAATAGAATATGGTACATAGGTAATATTTAACAACTCCATCTCGTAGAGTTATGGCGTATTTAGAATTGCTATTAAATATATACGTATCTTCAATAGCAACCATGCAAGTATCTAACTACTACGACGACTTCAAAATATAAGTGTCATGGAAATTATGACAGTGGTTTCCGAGATACACAAATGTAATATAAGATAAGAATTGCTCATATTAAGTAATAAGATTTTCCGTACTTCTGTCATGAGACCAAAGCTTTTATAGGTTTATGGATACGACGTGTTCAATGTATTGATTTGGAAATGATCCAAAGCGAAATTGTATTAAATTTGCATGAATGTAAAATATTCATCAGTATCATTTCCAACTTCATTGGCCACTATATGTGCATAACTAAGAAGTTATTATATGTATGTATAATATATGTACATAACTAAGAAGTTATGTACATATAATGGCCAATGTGGCCTATAAAACTATGTGTCTCTATGTCTCCGCTCTATATCTTTTATACGGGGACAAGTCGTCCTACATGGCATTTGCACATACTGGATTGCTATGCAATTTATAAATGTATAGGAATAAAGTCTAAATAATAATAAACTATATATTAAAACTTCATAATTATTTACTAAACAGAAACGAACAATTACACAAAATAAGTAAAACGTCGCATTTTTATATACTCAGCGAAAGGTAAAGTGCACAGATTATACTCATTAAGTTATTACTTACAGAGAATACACAAGAGAGACTGTAAAAAGTCAACTGCGTATGTACTTAAGTCTCACTTATTTTAGTCGCCAAGCAGCTCTTTATAAGCTATGATTCAGTTGTAATGTCGTTTAGGCATGATATCTTAGTCATCTGGAATAGCTATGCGTGAATGATGTCACATGATAACGTGATGTCCGTAGCTAAGTTCATGAGTTTAGGAGATAGTTACCGCTTACCGTCAGGTCAGCATGTTTGGCATTCACAGCATATATTGTAATAGTAAATTTATGTACTATATCGTCAAGTATTCTACATGTATTTGTTGCCATCCATGTCTGTGAGGAGAAATAAATAAATAAATAATTTATTAATTATTTTCATAATGATTTCATAAAAAACACAATACTGATAGTGCCTCTGACTACCCCCCCTCTAGAATTACAGTCGTGAAAATATAATCATAATTATTGACGTTAAAGTTACCCAACAACGGAGCCACATAAGGTTAAAAAAAACGACGGAACATCTTTGGAAGTATCTAATTAAAAAACTTGATACAACAGTCTGAAGATAAAAGATATAATGGAGACTTATAATGCCCTGTGTTATAAGTCTTTCCTTTTTTGTTCGGTGACACTTTCTAATAAGATTTTAATAAATTATGCAGGAGTGCCGCACCAAGTGACGTCGCTTGTATTATGCTCGCTTTTTCATTTCCACGGAAGATACACTTGGTACCTTGCGTCGTAATCATTTTCTGAATATAAAATGATTGGGAATGACTGTACAGTGGTATGCATCTGCAATCTCGGCATCACGCGTGAAGAGCTAGACTGATTTTGCTAATTCTTTTGTTGTTGAGTTTGTTAATGTCAGGAGAAGGATATTATGACAGAAATAAAGAATAAATACGTGGAATATTGGAAAAGTTGATATTGTCGTTTAGTTTTTTTTTAAATTTCAGTACTATATACAATGCGCAAAAGATACTGCGCTCTGTCACTTTCTAAATGAGGTTGGACATAACTCAAAATATCGGTAAATACTTTAAATGTATAATGTTATCATTAGCATTTGTTAATATGTGAATATTATAGAACTAAATAATTTAAATCAACACCCATAACTTCAACAGTGCAGTCTCCTCGAGCGGGTACTGCTGCTAATCATGAGAGTGACGGGTACAAGTCACACTCGTGGATGGATGGAGATCATTGCACACAAACATCTCTTGAAGATTGACAAGATGACATTCTTGCTTCTGTAGAAATAGTTTAGGTGAATCACACAAAAATTGATCAGTACATTAATACAGCAAATGAAATTTAATATTTCAATTATTCTACTGCCAAATAGTTAGATACAAAGACTGTAGACAGTAGATTTCGATTGAAAGGTGAGATAAGGTAGTGATATTCCAGGATACGGAATTATGACATTTTGTCCAGAGGAATGGCAACCCACGAGAGTTACCTTTATCGTCAAATGATGACGTGATGATATTGGTGTTGTTTATATATATTAGCAATTGTTGCTACTCTCAAATAAGTTTGCTGTCAGCATGTTTTCCAGTCATATAAAAAAGGTATGAATCCGCGTCTTTATTAAAAATGTGAATTGTAGAACATTCTCGCAATAATGCGGAAGCGTGTAATTGAATTTTTGAGGCGCTACACGTCTTCACTCTCCTCTGAGACAAGGGTCTACTTAGATAATAAATGGTATTATGAGGTTGATATTAAAAAAAAATGCGTTAGTTATTTATCGTTTAAAAACTGTACTGCAAATATGAAATATACCTAAAAATATTGTTAGTCGCAAATGTTTTAAATAAGTGCTTATTATATTAACATGACGAGAATTAAAGAAATTTATTCTGATAATTAATTATTGTATATATAAATGTTTGCATATTTTTGTCCTAATTTACTAAGTCATTTTAGATATTCGGTGGTAATTCTTTATATCTAAAAATACTTTAATTTTACGTCACATTATATTAATACAATCTTTCTTGAGATACAATACACAGAGTTAAAACATATTCAAGATTCTTCATCAATATTAAATTTAAATACTGGCTTAGTATGTATTATTATGTACTTAGAAAATTAATATATATTCTTATTACTAAAACTTGTAATTATTCTAACATGAATACGTATTCTTATTATAATATGTTTATTAACAGTAATATTTTTAACTGTGTACGGGAATATCATGAATTTACTTTGTTTTTGTCTTTTGCGACAGTTGTTTCGCATTCTACTTCAATATTGTGAATAGCGTATACGTTACAGCAGTGGGGAGAAATTTTGTTCAAGAACAGAACAAAAGTAACATTAATTCACGAAAAATGAACGTTGTTAAAAAATCAACAGAATCAGAAAACTCTTTATTATTTTCCTTCACAGTACATCTACATAAATTATATACAAATGTACAAAAACACATGATTACTATGTACAAGACAGAGGTAACAAGGCGGCCTTATCTCTAAATAATGCTCTCTTCCAAGTAACCTTCTTATTTGTAATTTGTTTACTCAAGTCAAGATAAAACTTTGTTACATTAACAGATCTTAGTATGTCATTAATAGTATTTTGCTTTGTATTAAAAATATCATAATATACCTCTCACACATTCTTTTTGGTGTCCGCTGGATTCAAATAAACTACCTTTGAGATTTAAGTCGTGGTTTTAGACCACTAAACCACGACGTATATATTACTTACTTAGTATTTATTGTTCAAGAAATTGAAACGACAGTGAATAACACTAAACCTCAACTTTCATACACCACGATATTTCAAATCATCATTTGTGAGCACTGCAAGTTTCTACGAAGTTCGCTTACATTGTGTCTTAACTATTGTGTAACGTAATAGTCAAAGGCATTCTCCATTTCAGTTTCAATATATTTAGAGGTTTTCCGGGAAGAAAAGCAATAAAAACTGCAGACGTTGGTACGCCACGCCGCCAATCGGCGAAGGAGTAGCAATCAACATTAATGCTTTACGCCGCCTTTCGGGGCTGGCAGTACCTACAAAATCTAATGTTTACGATTTCCGATACAACGGTCTCGTGTTACATTTCATGTATCGTATATGTCCACTATTGTTTGCCGTTAATTGTTCTCATTTGTTACAAAGTAGAGTACAGTATAATCTGGTTTCAGTACTGTAGCTATGTCTTTGTTTATGTTTGATTTATATATCTATTTTTTATCTCGGAATTACAATTTGGAATCGGAATCAAATCGTATGAAATCAAAGAGTAGATTTCAAATGGACTAATTATAATTCATAAAATAACATATCTACTT